TTCATGAACCTATACCATATCAAATTTATTTCACATCAATGCTCCATCACTAAATGATTTTTGATACATGGAATTAATTGATAAATGCATCTCTCATGGATTTATCCTTTGAATTTTTAATCGAGAAATGGATTTGATGTAATGATTCTTTCTTGATGAAGGAAGATTTTTTTTTATGAACACTTGCAAGGATTTAATTTCACATGAATATCTTGATCCTTGTGAAAAATGAAACAAGATTTTATCATTTCTAATGAAAAATAAAATGAAACTCTCTTATCATTTTTAACTTCATTCAAAGTTGGTTCTCAATGGCTTTTTCCTCCTTACTTTCCTCCTTCATGCAAAGTTTTGGTGATAAGTAAAAAGGAAAGAAGTTAATGAATGATATCATGTCATGAATGCTTGAAAAATCATTGGTATGAATTTTTTTACAAGTTAAAAAATGACATGAATCATTACCACATTTATTGTTGAATCGCTCTCCTTTTTGTTGATGACAAAGGGGGAGAAATTTGTGGTAAATTGATGATAGAATGAATTGCTATACACTTGAAATGTTTGCATTAATGATAAGATATCTAGAGCTCAATTTGTAATTTTACAAATTGATATCTTACCATATGATGAATTGCTATCCTTCACATTTGAAATATAAGACTCAAAATGGATATCATGCATTGACGTCATTTTTAGAATTGCTACATCATGATAGGAATCATGATGGGGGTATTGATAAGTTTAAATGAAATTAACTTATTAATATGTCTCTTGAATTCAAAAGCTTTTAATTCAAGAATGACTTATCTCAAGTATGGCATATAGATAGGGGGAGTTAAGGTTAACTCCGTCATTGTCATCATAAAAAAGGGGAAGATTGTTGAATCTCGGATTTTGATAATGAAATCAATTATCATTTGTTTATCTAATCTATATGTTGAGATAAGTGTGCAGGATAAACTACGATGGCAGTAAGACATGTAGCAGGTGTTGAGCCGGAGTCAAGACCAAGATCATGTTGGGAGTTCGAGAGTTAGTCCACACGTTCGTCGGAAGTTCTGCAGGAACCATTCGAGAAGTCCAGGAGCTTGCCATCGAAGCTCGCCGGAACTCGCCAAGGAGATCGTCGCAAAGTCTAGGAGCCTGCCGGGACTCCGCCAGATCATCGCCAAGAGTTCGTCGGATGTTCGCCGGAAGCTTGTCGGAAGAGCGATTGACGCACCGGAATATAGAATTGCAGTAGTCATGTCGTAATTATCATAGTTATGGTAGAGATTAAGTTGATTGGGATGCAATCCCACTAACTTAATTAGGGGTCAACTAGGGCCTTAACAGACCCAAATTGGGTCGAATGGAATAGCCCATTCGGACCTAGAATTCTTGGCCGGTGGTGGCACCGCCCAAGAGACTCGGTCTCCCAGGAATTCTGTGCAATAGTACCACCCCTATCAGGCAGTGGTACCGTCGGCAGTTATTATTGCCAACGATGGTACCGCCCCTGTTAGGCGGTAGTATCGCCCAGACTAAGCAGTGGTACCGCTCAGTGACAGATGACAGGTGGTAGTATTGCCCAATTATAGCGGTAGTACGGCTAAGACCCCGGAAATCCGGGAATGGACATTTTTGAGCTCCATTTTCAAACTCATTGGGGCCTATATAAATCCCACCTTTTCCTGCATGAAAGTGCACCGAAATCTTACTTTAATCTTGAGTATTTGAGGGCTTAAAAGTGTTGTAAAAGATAGAGTTCTCCTCCTTTCTTCTAAGTGTTGAGATCATTTAAGAGAGGAGTGAAATTTTGTAAGGGTTGCCTCCTAAGCTCGTCAAAAGGAGAGAAGCTGTAAAAGGATAGTTGGCCTTCGCCTATTGAAGGAAGGCCTCTAGTGGACGCCGGTGACCTCGTCGAAGGAGGAAGCCGAAAGTGGATATAGGTCACGATTGACCGAACCACTCTAAAATCTCAGTTTGCATTTGCTTTAAACATCATTCTTTACTGCAAACCTATTTTAATTGTTTACTGCCTTCAAGCTATCTTTACGCTCTTACTTCATCTTCAAAGTTAAGCATTTTCGAGTTCGATTTTCAACGTACGAAAAGATTTTTCGAAATCGATATTTTTATCCGCCGCACTAATTCACCCCCTCCCTCTTAATGTGCTCTTGATCCTAACATCTATTCTTTTCTCTCACCGTTTTTTATTTCTCCTTATAACGCACCAGCAACAACCCACCCTTTTTTTTCACATTTTTTCTCCATTGGTGTCTTCTTATAGTTTTCCCCCACACAGTAGGGTTGCATATTCTCTTTATATTTTGGCTTTTTTTTCACTTTCATTCTTTTCTCTCCCTTCTTTTTTTTTTTCTCCGTGTAACTTACTAACTTTTTCTCTCTTTTTGCATTTTTTTCTCCTAGTTGATGTCTTCCTTTGGTTTATCCCTCACATAGTTGGTTGCATACCCTATTTAGATTTTGATTTTCTTTCGCTTCCATTCTTTTCTCTTACCAACTTGTATTTCTCCTTATAACACTCCAACAACAACCCATCTGTTTCTTTTTCTTTTTTTTTTTCCTTTATACTTGGTGTCTTTCTTTGGTGGCAACCTAGAAACATGCTAAGTCTCATCTCAGTCACTATCAAACTTTGAATCCAAGATGCTAAAAAATCACTCTTGCAAAAACAGTTGATATGAAAAATATTTTCTCAATCGTAATTCGACACATGGCAATGGATGACAGCTTCCGATCAAACTAAAGTGGGACAATTGATATAGTGCATGGACATCCCGTCTTTCTGCTCAGTTAAAGAAATCTTATCTTTCAATAGACTTCATATGATACTAATTGAAATATGCTTTTCTTCATTCTCTCATTTCTTCACTAACAACAGAATTTGTTGCTCATCTTTGGTTTAAATTCCAACTCACCGATCGCCAAAAAAATTTATAGCATGGGAATGACGGGTGAGAACGAGTCAAGATAGGCGCGGCCTTCGAGTTTGACGCGATTGGGTTTGACTCGACTACAATTAAAATCCGTCCCACAAAGAGGGTTCAACATCTAGATATCATCATGTCTGAATCATCGACCATGAATAGAGATTTGAAAGACTGTTATCAAGTTAGACGACGGTCCATACGAGGCACAGGTCCTGAATGTTCCAATACTACTGAATAATAAATACTATTTTCGAAAGAGTCAATTGAATCCACGTTTATTTTATATTGGTGAAATGCTGAATTTTGTCATGGATTTTAAATTTATGATGGTCAAATTCAAGTTGGCCGAGTTGTTTAGGCATCTAATATCTTCGATTATTTTTCATTCGGAGCGTGAGCTATGTATGCTAATGGATTTGATATTTTTGAATTTTTGGTCTATCTAACCCAGTTAAATTTGGTTCATATTTTGGATGGACCGAGATAAAAAGGTAGATAAAACACGTATAATATATAGTTCCTCTGGTTCATAGGAGGTCCACATGTATTTAATCCGTTGTCATCTCTATCAAAAATACATACATTGTATCGAACCTTATAAGACTGCATCGGAGGTTTACTCGACAGATCTTATCAAATACTTAAGTTACCATAAGAAGTGAGGTATCAACTATGTGCCAAAATTTATAGTCGAATGCACATAGAGCTTATTAATTCTTATGTGCAGAGGAACGCATTTGGTGGGGCTTTCTATAGCACATTTTCAGGATCATTATACTCATAGATGCATATTGATGTTAGGAATGATTACGTGCATCTCTCGATCTTGGTGGAGTCTTGCTGTACCAAATTCACGAGAAATGGAACAACCATAATTTTGCGAATTCTTCTTGATGATACTTTTTTGTTGTATCATTATTTACACATTTATATTTTATCTTATATGATATGTTACATAAAAATATAACTAATACACATCGTAAAGACTCGTATATGAGTATTAAGCAAATATTTATGGGTGAAATGATTTGAAAAATAATTAAAATAATAATCCATTGGTTAAATTATAATGAATCAAATAATGTTTGTAGTGTTTGATCTGTAACCTGATAAATTAAAGTTTTTTTGGTTGAATTGATCTTCAATCTCATGCATGTTAATCATCATAACCAACTGGAAACACATTATCGGTTTAAAAATTATCAACAAAAGAACTATATGTCTTAATAAATTTCAGTTGGATTGAATTATTGTCAAATCTAATTATAAATATTAATCAATTTGACTTAAACTTATCATTATTCAATTTTCTAACTTAGTATCAGATATTTATTCTAAATGAGTGAAATTTTTTAAAAAAAATAAGCAGCTGAATAGATAATATATTGTCTTTAATTCATAATTTAATAAGCTTACATCTTTGGATTGAATTAATATTCAATCTGAAATATATTATCTGATTAATTTGACTCATCATTAGATTTTTATATTATAAATAAAGAAACATCTCTTTACGAGCTTATCGATACGTCTCCCGTGTCATCTTTATCAATCCCTTTGCGTTCTCTTGTTTTTTCATTGTTCCTCCCCACCCCTTATGATACCTTTGCTTGGATGCTAACGAACCGTGCCGCCTCCTATATTCGTCAATTCTTTTTAGTTCCAAAGAGAGAGAAAGAGGGGAGGAAAGCCTCTCACTATTAGAGATGTGGAATAGTACGTGTACTTAGGACTCGTACATGGGCTCATCCATTCATCTATAGCCTACATGGGAAGGGTATAGATGAATGGTTGGGTGTATTTATAGGCTACGTCATCCTCCAGGGAAGGGTTGGGTGTATTTATAGGCTATTCATCTATAGCCTACATGGGCTCATCCATTCGTTAAACTTAATTATACGTGACATCTGGCAATATCGAGAAGTCAAATTTCGTATTCCGCGGCTTGTCCATGTTAGTCCAAAGCTGGTCTTAATGTGAATATTAACGCAAGTCCTTAGCTGAGAGTCTTAAAATAATTATATATATATATATATATATATATATATATAATCATTCGAAACCTATCAAACTGGACCCTTATTTATTTTATTTATGATAGCATCCATCTTACAAGGAAGAGGAGACGGACGGAGGACGGAGTCCAAGTAGCAGCAAGACTCATTGAAGCAGCAGTATCACTCCAAGAGGTCTATTTAGGTGCGAGGTAAACTCCGATGGCATCAATCATGGCGCCCGCACGTCCAAAGAAGCCAATGATCTTACCCGAGGCTACAGGAACGGAGAAAGGTTTTCCGCCACTGGTGCCGAAAGGTCCATAGCTTTTCTTGTTGGTCCTCAGCGTCAGGTTCCTCACCAGAGTGATTCCCCACATCGTATCCACAGACCCCTCGACGCCCACAAGATACTCGTCCTCTTGCAGAGGAATCTGAACAACGAGACTTTCTGTCATCGAGGGACAACCAATCGATGGTGTTAATTAGGAGGAAGATGACGAGGAGGACGAACCTCGTAGAGTTTGCCCCCGGTGCCACCGAAGCTCTTGGTCTCCGTCTGACCATAACGGGTGAAGGTGATCACGATGCCGTCGATGGCGTCTCCGGCGCGAAACTTGATGTTGGTGATGCGGTAGGCAGCCGCCATATCCCATGCAGACCCTCCGTCGCCACCCCACGCCCCCACCTTGATCTCTCCCGCCTGCAAGCATGCACGACACCATCACGTTATATACCACCATGCATCAAAACCTTGCGACACAACTTGCGCAGCAGGAAACGGATAAAGAGAAAGAACCATTTGCAGATATGGATGTGTGTGTGGACAAGAAGAAGAAGATGATGACGATGATGATGCACGTCCTTCCTCTGGGGAGGGATGGGGGTATTTATAGCGGCTTCGTGACCTACACCCCGGGGTGTACGTGTCCACAAGTATGCCCATAACCATGTTCCTCACATCTCGTGATCGTGGTACGTCGGGCTTTCTATATCTTTGGAAGTGAGGACAAAAAGAATAAAATAAGACAAGGGTATTTATGCCCACAAAATATGTTCCCACACTTATTCAAAATAAATCCATTAAAAATTGACTTGATGGGATCCCGCAAGTGAGATATTTATGACCACTAAACATGTCCCCACACTTGGTCAAAAATAAATCCATTAAACATTGTCTTGATGGGATGTCGCATTCGAGTTTGTTAATGTGAATATGTCAGCTTCAATCAGCTCAAGGAAAATATTTACAATGTATAGGACGCATCATTGATACTTCTTTGCTGCTCTTTCAGCTGCAGCTTCATTGGAACGGAAGTTTTTGCCTTGGTGAACCTCCTTAATTAACAGGGAACATCAATTTGTCCTTAATTAACGATGAAAGCTCCATTGTTAGATGCTTACTGTCAGAAGATTTGTTGTCCTGAGTGTTTTATTTGTCTGGTTGTCTATTTGTCAAGATCAAGCAATGACCAGAGAATGAATAGCTAAACTCAGCTTATAATGATCGTATTTGTCAAGGATTCTTCACTAACAGCTGAACTGACCCAGTCAACTTAAATGAATACATAGGTTTTCAGCTCAGGACAGCTTGAGCTCAATCTAAACCTTGAACCGTGCTAAGTCTTATCTCATTCACCTTCAAAATTTAGGAGTCCAAAATGTTGAATCCACTATAGCAAAAACAGTTGATAAGGAAAATATTTACCCGATCACTGCTTGAAATGTGGCAACAAAGTCAGAAATATCAGGTTTAGATCTTAGACTTGATTTGAAAATTTGAAGGAGAAAATGGTTCATTACATGGTTGTCACAGAGAGAGAGAGAGAGAGAGAGAGAAAGCAACTTGTGTTCAGCCCCACGATGAGTGTTCAACTTAAAAGCCTTAAGTTTCCGCAAATGCTTATCCTTAAGTTTTAGGATTCCCTCTAACTTCTCTTTTTTAGAATTTATATTTCATATCTTTGATCAACTAAAGGAAAACATTTAAAATGTACGGGACACATCAATGGTAGTTCTTTGCTGCTCGTCAGCTGCAGCATCACTGGAATGGAACCTTTTACCTTGATGAACCTCCTTAATTAACTGGCCACATCAATGAAAATGAACCTCCTTACCCGAAGGCAATTCCTGTGTCATTGAGATGTTTCTGATTGCACCATCAATTACATTAAAAGCTACACATAATTAGACCACTTCAAAAGATATAGAGGTGATGTCTCCACTGTTACATGCTCACTATCAGATGATTCTTGTCCTGAGTTTTTTATTGGCCTGTGTCTATTTGTCAAGATCAAGCAATGACCAAAGAGTGAATAGCTAAACTCAGCGTCTAATGATCAAGCAATGATAACATATATCAAGGATTCTTCACCAACACCTAAACTCAACCGGTCATCTCAAATGGATGTATAGGTTTTTAGCTCAGGATATACAGCTTGAGCTCAATCTAAACCTAGAAACATGCTGAGTGTTATCTCAATCACCATCAAACTTTACGACAGGCTGCTGTTGGTGTGTAATTAAAATTCTGAAAGTCTGAACCAGGAAAGCTGACATATCAACTAAATTCTGAAAGGTCACACCCACGTAAAGGCATATGGCAATACAATCATTACACAATTCTAGCATTGTTTTCATCTCAGGTTAGATCAAATCATAGTAGATTCTTACTGTGATTACTTGAAAAGAATTTAGATATTGTGCACAGTGACATGATCCTCGTATCCCAGTTATTCTCTTGTGATTGTTGCTAGGGTTTTGGACAAGATATTGAGATTTGTATATTGATTATTCTTATAGTAGATTATCTCTAATTTGCCCCGTGATTTTTTACCCTTCACATTAAGGGGTTTTCCACGTAAATTTTGGTGCTCTATTTGATTATGATTCCATTTAATTCTGCTGCATATTATGCTCTTCTAGTACTTATTCATATACAAAAGTTATTTCACTTTATATCCCATCGACTGGTATCAAAGCAGGGTTTTGGTGATTTAATTTTGTATTTGAACATGGATGCCAGTAGTGTTTATCGCATGATTAGTTTAAATGAAAATAATTAGATGATATGGAAACCAAGAATGGAAGATCTCTTATATTGCAAAGATTTGTATGGACCTTTGCAGGGGGATAGTGCAAAATCCACAACTATGACAAACGATGAGTGGAAGATGTTAGATCAAAAAACGGTTGGGTTTTTTCAACAATGGCTTGATGATAGTGTCTTTCACCATGTTTCTACCGAAAGTTATGCATATTCTTTTTGGAAAAAATTGGAATGTCTCTATGAAAGAAAAACAACTAGCAACAAAGCTTTTTTTATCAGAAAACTTGTGAACCTAAAATATAGAGAGGGTGCTTCTATTGCTGAGCATTTGAATGAAATATAGAGTATCACTAACCAGTTATCCTCTATGAAAATATCTCTTGATGATGAGTTGCAGGCATTGTTACTTCTTAGTTCATTATTAGAAAGTTGGGAGACATTGGTGATTTCCCTCAGTAATTCTACACCAGATGGTGTTGTGACTATGAGTCAAGTAACAAACAGTTTGTTGAATGAGGAGTTGAGAAGAAAGAATTCAGCAACATCTCAGAATGATTCACAGGAACTTATCTCAGAGAACAGAGGAAGGTCAAAGTCTAAAAGCAGTTCACGCATGGGTAGGAGCAAGTCAAGATCAAGAAAAGATATTGTTTGCTATAATTATAGTGAGAAAGGACATTACAAGAACCAATGTAAGCAACCTAAGAAGAGCAAGAAAAAGGGAAAATAAGTGGAGTCTAGAGTCAAAAGATAATATCACAACTATAGTGTAGGGTGGTGATTATTTGATTTTGTCTCCTTCTGACGATATTTTTTCTTATGTGTCAGGATCTTGAGTGGGTGATTGACACATGAGCTTCTTATCATGCTACACCACGGAGGGAGTTTTTTGCTACCTACAGGTCTAGAAATTTTGGTGTTGTTAAGATGGGCAACTATGGCACAGCAGACATCATTGGCATGGGTGATATTCATTTAAAGACCAACCTTGGTTGCAAGTTGGTGCTTAAGGATATGAGGCATGTGGTTGACTTGAGGCTGAATTTAATTTCAGTTATAAGACTAGATGATGAAGACTTTGATAGCAAATTTTACAGAGGGCAATGGGAGCTCAGTAAGGGTTCTCTTATTGTGGCTAGTGGAAAGAAATATCATACCTTATATGGGTTGAAGGCCAAAGCTTGTGGTGAGTAGTTAAATGCTACAGAAAAAAACTTCATGGAGTTGTGGCATAGGCGATTGGGACACATGAGCGAGAAGGAGCTGCAAGCTCTTTCCAAGAGAGAGGTATTGTCATACCTCAAAGGTATATATCTGAACCCTTGTATTGATTGTTTGACTAGTAAACAACACAGAGTTTCATTTCCTAATCCTATTTTGTCTAGAAAAATGCATGTCTTAGATCGTGTTTATATAAATGTATGTGGTCCTTTGAAGACAAAAACTCATGGTGGATCTGTTGATGTTCTTGGTATAAGTGGTGCACTTTATTTTATCACTTTTATATATGATTTTTTCAAAAAAGTTTGGGCCCATACTTTGAAGACTAAAGATCAGGTTATTAATGTCTTCAAAGAGTTTTATGCCAGAGTTGAAAGGGAGACAGAAAGGCAATTGAAATGCATAAGATCAGATAATGGTGGTGAGTACACAGGATTATTTAATGATTATTGTAGGTTACATGGTATCTAACATGAGATGATAGTTCCTAGTACACCTCAGCATAATGCTATTGAAGAGAGGATGAATCGCACCATTATAGATATATCAGATGTATGCTTTCACAGGCCAAGCTACCTAAAAGGTTTTGAGATGAGGCTTTGAGGACTCCAGTTGATGTGATCAACTTATCACCGTGTACAATTCTGGATGGTGATGTTGCAGAGCATGTATGTTCAGGGAAAGATGTTTCCTACAGGCATTTGAGAGTATTTGGTTATCATGCATTTGCACATGTTCCAAACAATAAGAGGTCCAAGCTGGATGGTAAGACTAAATAATGTATTTTTCTTGGTTACTCACATGATCAGTTTGGTTACATGCTTTGGGATCTAGAAATGCAGAAAGTATTTAGAAGCAGAGGTGTAGTCTTCTTTGAGGATTTGAAGAAGAAGGCACCAGCCAAGACTTCTGCAGAAGGATTAGCATATTGTGACCCAGTTACTCCTCCAGTATATCAGGGTGATGGGGGAAATATGCAGGAAGATGGTGTAGAGTCTGATGTTGATAAACCTGCAGGACATGTTGAGCAAAAAGAAGTTGGAGAGCAACTTCCCATAGAACCTCAATTGAGAAGATCTTTTAGATAACGTCAACCTTCCATAAGATACTCTATGGATGAGTATGTGATGCTTACTGATACAGGTAAACTAGAGAGTTATCAAGAAGTAATTAAAAGTGAACAGAAAGAGAAGTGGTTAGTTGCTATGCAGGAAGAGATGGATGTTCTTCAGAAGAACCATACTTATGATTTGGTACTACTACCAAATGGAATTAAGGCCTTGAAAAACAAGTGGG